TTGGGGTTTTTACGCGACGTGCGTAGGTGTTTATTCGTACACTTTGAAACAAGAACTGCTTAAGCCTAACTTAACTTAAGCGCTCCAGAGCAGAGCGGAGACTTAGGGGAGAGATGGAGAGGGAGAGCGGACGGCAGTGCGAGCACGCGAGATATAGAAATCTGGATAAAACTGCAGCTCGACACTGCCTCCTGAAATTAAACGCCCTTTTGGCGTGAACATTCTCCCCCCCCCCCCCCCCCCCCCCCCCCCCCCCCCTTGCGAGGACACCCGTAGCAAGAACCTCAGGATAGTAGGCTCAGGAATATGTTGGAAGTGTAGATCGGTCGTCCGTATGTAGGAGAGTGTGGTGGGCCTTTCCACACTTGTGGCAGTGATGACCACTGCTACAGGAGTCCTTGGAATGATTGTGAGCCAAGCAATTGGAGCAGTACTTCTGGATATGTACTTCCTGAAGCCGATTCTGGGGGCTTAGCCGTAGAAAGTGGTGGCACTTCCGTAGAGGATGGATCTTTTGGCAGACTCGGCATTGGTAGGATTTAATACCTCGAGTACGTCTGCCATCCAAGGCGGGGTATGGAACCCAATATTCGGATGGAGTATTCTTAGGAGGAACTTTTTGTACGGAAACTTGCGTTGAATAGGGCGAAATGATGTGTGGAACTGAGGCGGATACTGGCCTTGGAGGGTCGGATGGAATCGTCGGAGTAGTAGGACCGCTGTTTCGATGCAGCAATTTGTGATGCCGATCTTGGCAAGTGAGACAGTTGTGAGCGCTTGTGCAATCCCGGAATTGATGGCTACTTGCAAAGCAATTGGAGCACAACTGCTTCCTTTGGATATAGGCTAAGCGATCTTCTACCGTCATCTGTAGGAAGCGTGGACATATGCGCACGGGGTGGTTCTTCTTCGAACACAGATCGCAGCCTTTGGTTATCGGAACTAACCTTGTGTTGAAGGAATTTATTCTTGGAAATTCTGCCTCTCGATTTGTGTTTTTGGACTGGACGTGGTGGAAATTGGCAGATCGCAAGCTATCGACGTCCTCAAGAGTTAGATGGCGCTCCGTCAAATATGAATCAAGCTCAAGCCACGTAGGAATTTCGGCTTTATTTTGGATGGATTGCTCCCATAATGAGAGAGTGAGCTTTGGTAGTTTTGTCGAGCACATACAAACCAGGATAGGGTCCCAATTCTCAATATTAACACCGGAAAATTTTAAGGAAGTTAAGCAACCTTGAAAAGTGCGTTGAAGTTCCTTTAAGGCTGCTCCCGACTCCTGTGCTATGGATTGCACATTGAAAAGTGTTTTCAGGTGACTGTTCACCTGCAATCGCTTATTTTCGAAACGCTCAGTTAGGTTATTCCAGGCTGTGCGAAAGCCATCATTGGTGAGTGGGGATCTTGAAACTATGGAATGAGCTTCGCCACTTGTTTTTGAATTTAAGTGGAATAATTTTTCAACGGGCGTTAGACTCGGATTGTCTATGTATATTGCCGTGAAAAGGTACCGGAAAGTCGGCCAGCGAAGATAATCGCCAGAGAAATCCTCTGTGTCGATAGGAGGGAGCCGACAGCCATAAGACGTGGAATTTTGGGACGGAGTTACTGGAGCTTGAGGTATTTGGGAGGAGCCCTTTTGGATTTGTTCCATCAGCTGCGCGGCAAATATTTCGTAAGTGGAGTACGTTTGGTAATACTTGGACTTTAGTATGGATTTTGTGTCTGCGGCGCTCTCGCCTGCAGTTATAATGCAGTCGGAGCATATGTCGTATGCTGCCTTTACCGTTTGCCACAAGAAATTGAGGTGATCGCGACGGATTTTATAGGCGGATAACGTTGGTGTAGGAGCACCTGGAGCGTTCACAGTGGCCTCAAAGTGGATCAGACAGTCAGCTGTGGCCATAAATCGGGTTAAAGCGGATTTTACTGATGTTGCCATGACGTTAAATAATTTAGAATTTTAATTCTGATGTAAGGAAACGGATTGGAATCAAATTGGAATTTAGGAACCAATTAAGATTGTAAATATATACGGTCACACTGTCGGATAGGCAATAAATATTTTTTATATCGGATGGTCGGACTTATGTAAGGAATTACGGACTTTAATATTGTTTGTTTGAAAGGAACACTTTTTGTGAGCTCTTGACCCACTGTGCACTGGCGATATACGGTATACGTATGTTTGTACACTGTACGTATGTATATATGTGGGGTGCGAATAGCAGAATAACGTTGCGGGAATGGGAAAGACTTCGCTTATGTTTGTATGTCGGTGCTTTTGTTTGTCACCTGCACAACTAAATTGCAAACGATTTGGTGGAGTACATTTTTGGATATTGTCACTTTGTTTTTAATTTTAGAAATAGTTTAGCCATATTTGTAGGTCGAGAAAAGTAGTTGGAGTGGACTGTATTAGAAAAAAGTAGTTCGAGTGGACTGTATTAGATTGTTTTTGTAAATATACACATGCAGCTGGAACACAGTAAAAAATAAAGAGTGCAAATCTTAAGGACAATCTTTATGATCGGGAATTTTTTACTGTGGCTGAGTTATATTTTACACACAATTGGAATTGAAAATATATTTGAGAAATATTTTTGTTGAATAATAGCACTGAAATATCTTCTGGAATTGTTTCAAGTGTACAATTGTGGGCAAAGTAAACTGGAATATTGTCGGGCACAAGTAACGGAATCGAAATACATATATTAAATGCCGTTGCGTCGGATTAATCACTTTTGGATTTAGACAATATATCATACAGAAAGTTAGTCGAAATAGGGTTTGAAAAACTGGCTGTATGACCGGCAATTATAGTAAGCGGAACTTATCTGGAGTGTTTCAAGCCGGCTGGGACAAAATCAAAGGAAACTCCAGGAGAGGAAAGTCCAAAGATTTCGAAATCCGGATTCGACTGGACCAAAATGTTGGGGCGGTGCGGCTTGATCGATTAAATAGCTGAAGCCCCAAGACTGATGGTACCCAAAAAACACGGGAGTAATTTTGGGGTTTTTACGCGACGTGCGTAGGTGTTTATTCGTACACTTTGAAACAAGAACTGCTTAAGCCTAACTTAACTTAAGCGCTCCAGAGCAGAGCGGAGACTTAGGGGAGAGATGGAGAGGGAGAGCGGACGGCAGTGCGAGCGCGCGGGATATAGAAATCTGGATAAAACTGCAGCTCGACACTGCCTCCTGAAAATAAACGCCCTTTTGGCGTGAACACTATCGTAAAAGCTGTCGAAAGATTCATTGGTCTTCTGCTTTCTATTTCTAATGAGCTCTTCAACATCTACATCGTCCCTTTCCTCCCGAAATTGTGTACGTAAGGCGAAACACAACGTATCCCATTGTACTCTGCTGACGGACTTGTGGTAGCGCCAATAGAACTCGTAGGCTTTACCTTCGAAAAGAACACTGGCATTTCTGCACAGTATTGCAAAGTTTCCCTCTAATGTCTGGTGTGTAAGCGCCTCAACTCTATATATAAAGTTGTCCACTGACACTCCGACTTCCGAATACTTTAACTTCCACCCATTCAGGATCTGAACAACCTTACCCGGCCGGTTGTTCAAGTCAGATCCAATGCTCCTGTGAGATATGGGTGATCCAGCATTTTTTACTGCAGCGTTATCGTTTCGATAGCTTAAGTTCCTCTCGTAAGGTCTATTTTGACCTTCCGTAGCGCGTGAAGGCGAAGTAGGTCTTATTTCGCTATTAGCATTTTCAATTGTTGGGGTTGCAGCCAATCGTCGAAAATGTTCTTCTACCGAACTCCGAACTAACTCTACTAGTTTATCTGAAAGAGTCGTGAGCAATCTCCGCTCCATTTGTAACCAACTACTCGTCCCCTCAACATGGGGTTGGCTTGTCTAACTTCTCTCTCTCTCTTTACTTTTACTACTCCGGGCCTTCTTCTCGGCTGAGGGTTGGATCAGACCCTCTTCCAAGATTAGCCCTTTAGCACGCGTATGTGGCCCAGCTGGCCTACAAGGCACTAGGCAAACGGGACAGTTTTCGCTTCCCTTGAAATGACTCTCAATACATTTCTTGTGATACTCGTGTAGACATGAAGTAATATACGGGTCCGCTGCACCTCTTACTTCCCTCTCGCACAACGGGTACACTGGTGCCGAAGCGCCCACTGGAGAATGCAACATTTTAGAAAAGAGTAACTTACGATCGAATAAAGACAACACAATAAATTGATGCTAAACGCGTACTTTAACTAAAGCGAAAAGGATAACTGATCAATAATCAAAAGATACTGATTGAACTCTGCGCTAGATATCCAGCGTGTCGAAAGGTATTCATACGTTTTTAACGTTTACTGAAATTCTCTTCGTTGAGATTTAGATTTGTGGAGTTTTAGTATGATAGTAAAAGATGATTGAAGATAGTTTGAAGATAATCTATTGAATTCTTCCTGGCAGAACGCTGTTTACAATACACACTGTCTGCATTCCGGCTTCCTTCAAATCAAGAAAACTTCATGCAAAAGCAAACAAAACAAAAAAAAAAATTTAACAACTTTCCTCAACTTTGAGTGGTTATGACACTCTCGCAAGCCAGGTCGTTTATTTTCCAAATCTCTCCGTTTTCGGAAAAGTTGTGTTAGGCTGACCGTGTGTTAATTGCTCGTGGCCAGTAGACCGACAAAAGTTCCTTACTGTTTTCCGCAACCAATTTAAGGTCCAACCCCTAGTTCTATCAAAGTAGGTAGAAGAGAGTCGAATTTTTTTTTTACCGCCTGTTTTTAGCTCTGGTCAATAAGCTCAGCTAAAATTGTACTCCTCTTGCGTTCCAAAACATAAACAAAACACGGTGAAAATCAGCTGATTCACATAACGGTATTAAGAAAATGAGAAAATAAAGGAAATTCTGGAATCTATTTACGATGAGTCTTACCGAGTGCAAGAAGTTACACCCGTTAAGGCCCCACGTTGGGCGCCACTTTTTAAATAATAATAATTAATTATAACTGTAACGTGCAACCTTATGTAGCACAGTATTTTACACAGATCTGTCCTCGCGGGGCACGCTATAGTATCCGGCTCTAGCTTGTCGGCTTTGGGGGGTGGAGGTCTTCCTAATCCAGATCTGCTACTTGTCTATTATTTTTAATCAAGAAATTAATTAAATAATTACTCCATGGTTTCGTTTAAATTCATTTTAATAATCCAAATTAAATTTCAGGCCTATGTTGCCAGGGCGGGTTACTCCCTTTTCCCCATTGGGAAAAGACATAAGTGGAATACAATTGCAAATGTCAATAGCCGAAGGGAATAAGAAGGGGCTATGTATACTATCGATATCTAATTACCCTAAAAAAAATACCAATAGTTCGTTCTCCATAAACAGATATAATTATTGGGTGCGGATAGTATGAGGTAATCTTAAGTTTTAATAAGGGGTCTTAATATATATAAAATGTAGAGAAATTTCATTGTTGATTCCATAGATAAGTTTCTACTCTACAAAGGAAATATCTTCTATTGTTTGGTTCTAACTGTTGTTCCTGTTTTTTTCCTCAGTGTATTCACAGCTTAATTTTATTTTATTTTTTTTTCTTCTCTATTATTATTAAAATTATTATTATTTATTTATTTATATTTTTACAGTACTTCTACAAAGGAGATGCGTTCGGCTTTAGGACTACTGTTGTTCATATAAATCTCCAATTTAATCAGCTTTTAAGGGTGTGCATGTTCTCTTTTACTTTTGTTTGACCATTTTTTTATTAAACATTGGATTCGAATGCCGAGTATAAATTAGCCAAAAATATACAATTTTGTATTAACTCACTTGGTGTATTCTCCACGACGAAAGATCGATCTCCCGAGCGGTGACTGTAAAAGAATAGCGACTGTGGTTCGCAAAGGGTTAAGTAAATACAGAGCATTCACATGTTTTAGTCAACCACCTATTTTTTTTAACTAATAATTCCTAAAACCGAACCCGTACATGATTATATTTTTCTTTCTTTCGTTCGGTTCTACCTACGCCTATATTTTCTGTTCCTAAAATAATTTTATCTTACTTAATATTTTATTTTTTTATTCCATTTCCAACTTTTCTCTCAGTGCGTCATTCTGTGCATATTTGGTGACTCTGGCCGATCTAGCACTTATTTGGGGGGGTTTAAATGTTAAGGAAATTCTAACATTGTGCGAATTTGTATGCCCTTACATTAATTATAAAAAAAATCGAGTCAAGGAATTAAGCGTCGAAGCGCGGCTTTTCTCCATTCACTAGTGTATCGACGATGGGCAAACCTCGCTGCTGTTTTACTTTCTGGCTCTCCCTAACCCCGTTGGAAAATTTCCAATGTGCACATGATCGAACCCTAAAATTCGTGTTTTGGCCAATTTAAACACTGACGACCTGTCTGTAATCCTGAGGGACTACATTCTGCTCTATCGAGCTATTGCTGCTCTCGGTTGTTGCCTATTTAATGGCTGCTGCTCAGTTAACCGCCGAGGAAGAGCCGCTGAAGCGGTTACAAACGGAGCTGCTTGTCTGTCCGCTAAGATTAAATGAACGCTGTGGGGACTCTAGGCCTTAGATCGCGATGAGAAACTGCTGGTGCTTGGTTGACTACAGGGGGTGCTTCCGTGGACACTACAGGGATCCGTCGATCTTCCGGCGACTTTTCAGGGCGCTTCCCTCGATGCCCGTGCTGCCCAGCACTTGCGGCAGCTGCGGGTGAACGATGTGGCTCGCTAATCCACTAGGATTGCAGAAAATCTAGGCAACCGCCAACATGCATAAATATTCAACTCGATTTTCAGAACACTTATTTGTATAGTTTTTCGGACTTAGTGTGCCGCACTCGAATTATACGCGTGTGATCGCTTTGAATACTATAAAAGAAAAGAACGTGTCCGGAATTCGGATGTGGGTCTGCAAAGTTGGCCGCGGTGCGAAAGCCGAGCTTTGTATTGCGACTCTGTTACAGCTGATTTATGCCAGCTGATCTAATGCAACTGCAGATGTGGTCCACTGATTTGGCAACGCAAAGCTAAGTGCATATGTACCTATGTATTTATAGAGCCTACTTTAAGGCTGACTATATGCATACGTACTCGCACAAACGCTTCAGGCGCTGTTACAATATCCGAGCGTCCACTGGAAGGCGGAGCACTAGTCATGGCACTTTGCAAATCGCTGCTTGGAAACTCTTCGCAATGGCTATCCCAAATTTGCTTCGCTGGAATGTCATGGCTGGAATTCAAGGACTTGTTTTTACACCGCTATGAAGGCATCAAGCCACCGTCTGCCGTATTGCTCAACATTCTCAACGGACGGCCGAATGCAAACGAGTCCTTGTCAGTATATGGCAGCAGGCTGGTGACGTCACTGCTGACGAAGTGGAAAGGAATGAGCCAAGAGGAGATAGCTGTTTCTTTAGTGTTGGCCATCACGTCCCAAACCGATCCCAGGCTGCAAAGTTCCGTTTTCACTACAAACATAAAAACTAGGAATGAACTGCAGCAACTCTTAAAGGCGTTTGCGTTCAGCAAAGTGAGCGACAACTCTGGATTGGATCAAGGACCGGACAGGAAGAGGTTTAAGGAGCAGGCGCAAATCAAATGTCATTATTGCGGCAAGATGGGACATAAAGCGTTTGAATGCCGTAAGAAGAAGGGAGAAGAGAGAAACGACGCAAAACCAATTCATCATACTGGCAAACCTTTCACTGGACGAGAGAGGTCAGGAGTTACTTGCTTCAAGTGGGGCAATCCTGTTCACATTGCATCTGCATGTGCGAAGGGCACGACTTCGACGCACAACTACAACAACGAGAAGCGAGTCGACATGTGTGCAGTGTTGGAGCCAACTGGTATTATGAAGCAAATGGGTGAGAGTTTTATCTTCTTCTTCGATTCGGGTGCCGAATGCTCTTTGGTCAAGGAAAAACTCTGCAACAAGCTGGCTGGAAAAAGGATTTATAATACGGTAGTTCTAAGAGGAATAGGTGATAACATTGTTAAAAGTAACTTACAAATATTGGCAACTGTAAATATTTCCGAATTTAATGTAGAAGTCCTTTTTCATGTAGTAATGGATAACTACCTTAAGTACGATATTATAATTGGTCGAGAAATATTGCAGCTAGGTTTTGGTGTCATGATAGATGTCAATGTAGTGAGTAATGAAGATAGAAGAAGCCAACTCTCCCGTGTGCAGTCGCTTTATTGAACGCTCTATAAAATAAACGATATTCCACGGAAAATAACATTTATAAAATTGAAGAAAGTCTATAACTGCCTAATATACCACCAGCCCTATCCGCGAACAACACAACATAGTGCTAATAAACAAAGTTGATTCTATAAATCAGAAAATAAATTCTTGCTGAACAACAAGTGCGGTTGTGCGTGCACCTTCAGTGAGAGACAATCGGTGCGGCAGCATCTTCGGAGTGCAAGAGAGAAAAAGGTTGCCCCATCAGCTACGCTATTGCCGATAAGGCAGCTATTCACTATTGTCGATAAGGCAGTTTGTCGGTAAAGCAGTGAGTGGTTGCAAGCTAAGCTATTACTTAAACTTAAAGATTAAATCCGAAAGATACAATACAAACACAACCGACCTAACCTTAACCAAATCAAACAATAAATACACTTAAAAAAGTCATGGGTTCTTCTGCTCCACCTACTAAACGTACCCGCAACAATGCTGGAACTGCCAGCGAACGCATCTCGGATGTAAATTCGCCTCAGCTTCTGGAGCTCCTAAAGACTCGCTTCGAGGAACAAACCGAGAAAATTGAGTCGGCCGTTCGGGAAGCTGAACAGCGAATGCTCAGAAGCCTTATGGATCGCTTGGACAAAATCGCCGGGGAAGTAAAACAAATGGATGCTCGTGTCCTGACGTTGGAGCGCGAGGTTGCCGATCTTCGCTCCATGAGGGACCGAATGGGTGAGCGGGTTGAGACGTTGAACCGGGAGGTAGAAAATCTACAAGCAGCAGGTCAGAGGTTGGGTGCACTGGAGGCCAGGATGGCAACGCAATGCAGGGAGACTAGCTCGTGTGATCTGAGGGTTCATGGAGTTCCCTATGTCGAAGGTGAAGATCTCAGAGCGCTCTATCACAAGCTATGCTTTAATCTCCAGCTGACTCCACCACCAAGAGTCTGCGATATCTTCCGAGCAAGGAAATCACAGCAAACACATGTGGATCCGGTGATAATAATTAAAATGCTAAACCCACGCGAAAAGATCAAGCTGCTTGGTCAAGTCGGAATGTACAGGCGCGAGCACAAGAAACAACTTAGCTTGCAGTTTCTGGGTTTCAATTCAGAAGCGTTAATTTATATTAATGAGCAATTGTTAAAAGAGTCTTTAAAGAGGCTATGCGCATGAAAAAACATAAAATCCTTACGGCTGTTTTTACACGACGCGGCCTTGTGCACGTACGCTGCACTCGAAGAGAGGGTGTCTGTTGCATTAACAGTATGGAGGAACTTTCGTCCATTAATCTTTCGCCTGATCCACTTTCTACATCTCTCACTAACGCTTCGGCTGGACCTGAAGCTGATAGCTTTCGTTCTTAAGCGTATAAATTGTATCCTCTTAATTAAGATAGGTTTAAAACTAGTTTACTCTAAGAAATGTATAAGATACGCATTGAATATTGAGATTGCGCCCCTAATAATCATTGATAACAACAATGCAGGATGAGGAAGTTTGTTCCATAGCTAGTGCCATGATAAAAACTATAAGTAGTTATAAAATTGGTCTAAAAATTGTTCACTTAAATGCACAAAGTTTGCTAAAGAAGATTGATGAGTTTAGATTCCTTTTCACTCAGTCTAATGTCGATGTGATATGTGTGTCTGAGACGTGGTTTGTAAATGATCTATGTGATTCGTCTATTATTTGTGAAGGCTTTAATGTTTATCGGTCCGACCGTACTGGTCATGCAGGAGGTGTTGCTATATACGTAAATGTGAAGCTGAAATGTAAAGTGGTACTTAAACAGCCTAGTGACAGTACTATCGAATACATTCTATTAGAACTTCCCAATAAATCCCATGGAAGAACCCTTCTAGGTTGCATATATAGACCGAATCGGACAATTGACTACGGGTCATTACTTAATGTTGTTTCAGGCATTTCGTTGGAGTACACTGACATCATATTGGCAGGTGATTTTAACAGCAACCTATTGTCAGAAAGCCATCTCCTAGATAACTTTAAGTCCCTAGGTTTGTTTTCCGTAAACGAAACGATTCCCACGCACTATAGCAGCCACTGTGATACATTACTTGACTTATTTCTTATCAATGACCCTAGCAAAATCATACATTATGACCAGGTTTCTGTACCAGCCTTCTCCAGACATGACCTAATATTTTTAACATACGACTTGACCTTTGACAGCAAAATCAATTCTTTTACGTACAGAGATTACAAAAATATAAACTATAATGAATTAAAAACGGAATTTTTGTGTTGTGACTGGTCATGTATTTACCAACTTCGTCATGTAGATTGTCAATTAGATGTTTTAACCAACAATGTCCAGTATTTGTTCAACAAGTTTGTGCCCCTAAGGACCAAGTAGTGAAATTAAAAACCTAACCCGTCAGCGAGATGTAGCTTACCTCCGGTGGAAGCGATACAAAACTGATGAATTTCGAAAACAATACAAAGAGGCTAGGGTAAAAGTAAACAAAAAGATAAAATCAGCAAAGAAAGAGCATTATAACATACAATTTAATAATTGTGTTAACTCAAAAAAAAGATGGAACAAACTAAAACGGTTAGGTATTGGAAAGTGTAAGCAACAGACAGAGTCTGAGGTGGATGTCGAATTAATAAACAAAAAGTTTTTGGAAATAGATGTACCTGAAGCAACATGCAATCCGTACCTGAATACTCAACCCCTCTGTGATAATAGTTTTAGCTTTATATGTATAAACCAAAGTAATGTCCTAGCTAGTATTCTGCATGTCAAGTCTGATGCTGTTGGTCTCGATAATATGAGTCCATTACATATATTTTTAACACGGCTATTACAACGTCTTCATTTCCGTTAATATGGAAAAACGCCAAAATTTTCCCAATTCCTAAGCCAAACAATGACTATAGACCTATTTCAATATTACCTTTTCTATCAAAAGTCTTTGAAAACCTTATGTCCTCACAGATTCAACTATACTTAGCTAATAATTCTCTACTTGACGAAAAACAATCAGGATTCCGTAAGAAAAGGAGTTGTATTACTGCAATCACAAATATTG